ATATAAAGTCAGTGAAAGGCATGAAATGGCTTCTTGATCAGGCTGAATGAGACTGGATTTTAAAGTATTGTTCTTATCTTCCAACACCCAACGCTTACCATCGAATGGTCTCAAACTGACCTTATTACTTCCAACAGTGTAGAGTTGATGTTTTTGACTCTGAATTTGTTTCATGTAGTGTCTAAATTGTTTTTAACCAAACAAACAATCTTTGTACATGCTATATCTCAATTGTTTTTTTCATTACGGTTTTGCTGACTATCTTGGCTGTTTGTTTTTCTTTTCCGTCATAAAGTGAATAAAGTTTGGGTTTAAGTCCCGCAAAAGATTCCAAAACACAATCTCCAACTTCATGTTTCATCTTTCCAAGTACCTTGGCATTGGCCTTTGAAAATAGAGGACCGGAAGGGTCAAAATTGCTTGTCACACAAGTTCTGATGTTCAGCCATTTCGGCTTAAAAGTCAGACGTTTCAATCAGATAACACAGGGAATCTGTGTCTGTGAAACAGAGTTTGACCTTGTCACCATATTTTGCTTTAGTAAAACTACAGTGAAAGTCATACACTACATGTTTAGACATGTCAAGAACAGAGAAACCAGCATACACTGGCTGATTCAAATATAGTGAATTCTTTTTCAAATGTACAGCAGCCAAATCAGCATTGAAAATTTTAAAGGCTTCAAAAGTCGGTTTAGCAAATAATTTTCTCAACCTTTTTGATGAATTGACTTGTTCTACATTCACATGTTTCCTTTAATTCATCATTGAGCGGCCAAATACTGAGTTGTTCGCAAACTTTATCTGCTTCGTTTTTGGCCAGTTTTCTCTTCTCTGTATTCAAGTCAATGTAAGGTTTCAGCCAGGCTGACTGGGTAAACTCAACAGCTCTATGAATTTTGGTCAGTCTCAAGTCCTTGCTGAAATAAAACTTCAAATTTCTATAATGCAGAATATAATGAGTTGTCATACAGATTGGGAACAAGTTTCTTAGAGGGTTGGTCTTGAATACACAACTCTTCTTTCAACTGTTGGGGATAAGGGGAGAGCATGTCGTCAGTAATCAACATGGCTTCAGGGGCTAACGGATAACCACTGTGACTGTCATGCAATTCTGGGATATTATAATATATGTATCCAACATCTGCATCATCTGGGATATTTGTAACATCTAATTGGTTAACACCGTCCACCCACTGGAAATCTCGTTCAGGGAGACGCTGAGACATGCTATGACAAGAGAGATTATTGGCATCCAGATAGATGAGATAGGAGCTAGGGTCATTAGGGTCATAGTCCTTGACATGTGGATTGTCAGATTCCACGTACCTGGTCGAGGTCATGGAAATACCCCCTCTCAATCCCCTTTCTATCATCAAATGCATGTCCAGATCTGTCCCATTTTCAACATGGCATCCCAAGCCATACCTGATAGTGATACATACTGAGCTGGATCTATATCATAAAAGGTCAAAGCTGTATCCCTGAAGTTTTCACAAACTAGAGCTAACAACGAAACATCAGTTATCATATAGAGATCACGATAGTCTCCCATAGTTTTTAGATCAAAGGTAGGCCATACATTTTGAGCATGCGCATAGTCTGCATCTGAGATAGAACTATCAGGTTAAGTATTATAGTTGGCAGTGGGCAGTTCACTCATGGCAAACTTTGATTCGTCATCCATAAAATCGTAGGGATACACTTCTTTTCTCAACAGCAAGTTCATGTGCTGTTCATCTGGAAGTTCTTCCCTTAAGAACTTAAATTTTGCAGACCCTTCAGCCCTGAGATTGACTACCGAGGTGTCCAAAGGTGAATTCAGAAACTGCAAGGAGTCAATGAACCTGAGATTACCAACTGAGAAAGAAATGTATTTTTCCGGATTGTTAGCCAGACATTTAAGTTTTTGACTGACTGTTTTATCTAATTCTTTCATGGTTAAGTGGCTGTCATAGCTACGGAAATTGTGAAAGATCACAGGGATAAAGTTTTCTTCCCATTTCCTTCGATCTCTACCTTTTGTCTTTTTAAATTGGTACTGGAGATTGTACTTTTGAGATGCTGCTCCGCGATAATCACGCGACAGCACATGATTATGATCTCGAACTTTACATGACTGGTCACTGAGTGGTTGACAACATATATGACATTGATAGGCCATTTGAAAAGCTCTTTCATCACTTTCAGTCAGTGTCATAGGTTCAATGTCTTTCAGATATTCACTAATAACCTTCAGTTCCTCCAGTAGCTTCCAATAAAGTGAGAAATGACTCGTGGTCATCTGTAGACCTGGAGTCAGTACTTACAACCTTATAGCAAAAACTAGAAGGTTCATGTTTCTGATGGGAACATGTATGAGATATCTCAGGATTTGGTTGACATCCACAGACTCTTTTCGTAATGGCCTCAAAATCCGCAACCACTACATAAGGGACACTCAATTGTCTTTCTATGCTTTTTAACTTCACCAACATTTGTTCCTCAGTTTGAGGTAACTTAATTTTCTGAATAGAGTGAGTAGAGCAGTAAAGACAATGATCTTCAAATAGATCTAACTTAGTGAACCCGTGGAGACATCGTCTACAATAAAATGTGGTGGCATGATGTTTTGTCCTGTTCCCCATCAACCTACTGAAACTGAGAATTAGACAATTGTAGTCGGTACAGGTAAGGTAATAGCATGTACTGTATGTTCATGTGGTAGCCACAAGAACAATTTGCATTAGCTGAGGTCAGCATAGAGGTTACATCAGCCAGGTCTCGGGCGACAGTTTGAACAATTCGGTTGAACCTGGAGCCATAGTTTATATCATTCATTGGGCAGTTAATGAAAGACCTCGGGCTTCTGCAAATGACAATGCCCTGAAAATAACGTTACCCTCATTATAAGTCGACATCAGGGGGATTGGTTTAGGTGTAGTCTAGATTGTGGTGGCGACACACTATGGTCATAGTTTGAACTACCCGTGAAGACCCGGGTTAGAATTGATCTTCAACAACCCATGCTTGTCGAGAGAGGCGACTATCTCTGTCGTAAGATGCGACTAACGGGATCGGGTAGTCAAGCTCTCTGACTTGGTTGATGCATGTCATCGTATCACAATCATGTAGATCATACTCTTGATGTTGATCACTGGACTGTTTGGTCTCAGACTCGATTATTTACAGACCGCCGTCATGTAGCTGGAATTATCCCGAGAGCGGTGTTAAATAACCAACAAACGAACACACTGAACGTTATTGTACGTTATTCATACTGAATCAGTTGCTGTATGCGTGTGATAGCTGTTACGACGAAAAGTGAGAGAGCAATAGGCAAAGTAGTGTCCCCAATAATCTGGTGTGTTATATCCCCATGAAACATACCACAAAACCCATTCGAGCTTCGTTTTGGGTCTGACCTGAAATTCGCAACACTAAACTAGCCGTCCAATCCTATTATGATAATATATCAAAATATCATAATCTATTAATTAATTACAATGTCAAGTATTTTGGACTGAGATATCAATAATCGTTGCTTAATAATATCTGTAATTGGTCCCCTCCCTAACTCCCTAAATATTATATAACAAGAAGGGATTTTTCTGAATTTTCCATTTGGTTCAGAAAGCCTGTTTGAGATAGGGGGATGGGTGGCCCAGTCGTCTAAGGCGCCGCAATTCGCTATTCAGAGTTGCGTCCCTTGGGCACGCCAGAAACCTATGATTGTAGGTTCGAATCCCGGTTCTCCCCGATTATGTTTCTTGGTTTGTCGGCACCATTCCCGTGCTCGTGGGTTTCACCGAAGTGGTAAACGTCTGAGACCTGCATCACTTAGAGCTTTTCTCCCACATTAAGCTGTCACGCCGTGTTATAACTGGAAAACTGTTCAAAGCGACGTTAAACCCAACTCACACACTCACTGTTTGGGATGTGTGCAATGCCTGATGTAATTGCATGTTCAATTTGCATGTATCATCTGTGTCATTGGCTCATTTCTTTTAGAAAATCAGAAATAATCCTGTTATATGACGACGGCCTGCATGAAATAATCGAACCTGGACTAGACAAACAAGTGAGCGATATTATGAGTAGCATTGCACGACAAGACGAATTCAACGAAGACGCCGAGCCTGAGAACCTGATCCATTTAGTCGCCTGATTAAACCTGCATAGATTGCCGATGACAGCATAACTGCCAAACAAGTTATTTATGTCAAAGCACTACTTTCTCGATTCCGAACGGAAGGCAATTTCTAATACTGTTTGATGGTTAGCTCACCTGACCTGACGTCCGTTGTTAATTTCTGCGTTTTCGACATCTCTGAAACTACATAAAGCTGAAAATTAGTAAGAACGAACCTGCTTAAAATAAAGCTGGATAAATGGAAATAATTAATTCGGGAAACAATTCCAGTTTGATAGCCAAAACTTAGTCAACTAACTGTTGCTTTGTTGAAAAAAAGGTTTTTATATTAGCTTAACGCACACCCACCTCCATACCCCACCCCCAACCCACATACTATCCGTTTTTCTAGTGCAGTTCCGAAATCTCCTTTGAAAGTACAAGGCAAACATGAGTGATATTTTCTATGTCTCTAAAATCTGCACTCCAATCGGATTTTAAACAAGGGAACCGTGACAACGACACTAAATCTAATAATGGTAATTCCTTGGTCATCTCAAACTTCAAACTGTATGGAAATTTGGCATATGTGTAGTTGTGGTATCAGTTTCTGAGTTACGACACCACAATAGGCATCGAGCGTTGTACAAAAATGGCGTCGACAAAACTTGCACGGATGATATCCCGCATTGCTGTTTAATCAGACCACACGTGAAAACAACACACGAGACCGTAAATATGTTTCATTGGAAAGATTTCCGGGAAACATGCCGTCATTTCGCGTTAGCGACTGAGACGGCAAACGAGGTTATGGTCAATATTATACAGTAAAATTCACTTTTTGTGTTCGTTTTTTTACAGTGTACATACACACATTTCTATCATTTCAGAATAAACCTCCACAACTTGACGTTTCTGACAACTGAGCCAGTATTTGGACGCCGCTATCTCCCAGAGCATGATTTACTCCTCTCCCCTATAAATTTCCACCCGAAATGCGCCAATGCAAACACCTCTCGTATATATCTAAAACATTATCAACCATCGTACTCGTTGGGAGAACAGATCAAAGTTCAAATAGATCTGTTTGATAGGGATGGTAACCGGAAGTCAACTGGGGGCGACCATCTGAGAGTGTGGATGGAAGATCCCAAGACTTCAGCTTCCGTCTCCGGTGAGGTTTTCGACCACAATGATGGAAGTTACACTGGTGTTTTCAAAGCCACATGGGCCGGACAGGCTGCGATACGCGTATTTATTGCAACACGAAGAGAGGAGTTGGCTCTGTATTACAGAATGTTTAAACAATACTCCAGCATATGGACAGCATATGCCGATTTCAACAAGACACCGCTGTCTGAAACATCGAGATGCTCAGCAAACCAACCGAGTATGTCAAAGACCAACGAGTGGTGTAACTTGACAACTGAGAACGATGGTTTTCCTTGGTTTTGCAAGAAGACTAATTTAACTTGTGATACATGGACAAATTCCTACACTGGCCCGACTAATTTCACACTTGATACTACTGAGAAAGATATCCTTACATGGTACGTACTTACTTACCTCATTGTTTGTGTTATTAACGCTTCGCGTCTGTTCCATCTTTAAGCCGTTGCCACTCTGCATCGGATCTTGGATTGGTATTCGTCCGCGCACCTTTTGGTTGACATTCGAAATTGACGTGTCTGAATCAGATAAAAATAGTTCGCCGTCATTACCTCAAAATGTCATAAAAATCGTTATAATCATAATAATCACTCGGTATGTTTTCTGCAATATTGAACACATACACAATCTTCAATTCTAATACTAATTTTAGAGACCCGTGAAGATTCCGGGGTAGAATAGGTCTTCAGCAACCCATGCTTGCCGTAAAAGGTGACTATGCTTGTCGTAAAAGGCGACTAACGGGATCGGGTGGTCAGACTCGCTGACTTGGTTGATGCATGTCATCGATCCCAATTGCGTGGATCGATGCTCATGATATCAATCACTGGATTGTCTAGTCCAGACTCGATTATTTACAGACCGCCGTCATATAGCTGGAATATTGCAGAGTGCGGCGTAAAACAACAAACCAACCAACCAATCTAATTTTAGAGAATTTAAATTGCTATTTATCCAGTCGATTTATACAGTCAACTTATTTCTCTTATATCAAGGTCAGTTAAGGGTGCTTCCTCTGACATCCTACGGCTGTTTCTGAATATATCTATAAGAAATGGTGAGTATGCATTTAAAATATATGTAAAGTATTTTTCATCATTTCTGGTCGAAGCAACTAGGCCACTTAGTTACTAAGACTAGGCTCAAACAACAGTAATTGTATTCGGTCATTCAAATATCTCTTCAGGTGTTTTTTTTTTGCTGTTCTGAATAATTTTGTTTTTTGAATGTTACCTACAATCTTGGAATGAAGAGAAATCTTGAACGCACACGTTAAAGCTCACTTCAAATGTTTCTAATTGCAGTTGGAAATTCATCATTGCTGACGCCGCCTGATATCTCCTGTAATAATTTACCAGCAAAAGTGACCTGGCAGCAGAAATCTCCAAACGGTTTTTTTTACACCAATAGATGGCATTCGCTAATGTGTCATGACACACTGCCACGCACCATAGATACTTACAGACAATGCTTGAAAGGAAGGACGCTATGGCTTCATGGGGATTCAACAAGTGCCCAGTTCAAAACAGCTCTTCACTCCTTCTTGCGCTTTCCTTCACATGCAAATCACCATGTACCTGTTAATGACAAAGATCCGTTACACAATTTTTCAGTTTCCTGGCATGCTCACGAATTACCGTTCTATCATGGAGCTCGACACTACCCAAGATATTCGAACCAAGCTCAGCACATCATGATGGACCGTCTCCCGAACACCACCAAGGACATCGTAGTGTTATATTTGTACGTTCATTTCACACTTGTCCACCCGGATGAGTTTCGGCGGCATGTTCGACGACTTGTTCCATCTGCAAAGAACCTCTTGGCACGCGCCCCTAATGTTACACTTGCAGTTCGTGGCCCACATGCATATTTCAGAGGGACACAAAGTTTGTTATCCTACTGGGGTCTCATATATTCTGATATTTGGCATGAGGAATTCGCTTCATTGCATGACAAGATTGTTTATTTAGATTTCTGGGATTTGACCATGGCAAGACCTTCTGCAGATGTTCACGCAGACATGAGCATAGTTCATCAAATGGTACACAAAATGATGTCATTGTTGTGCTTTAGGAAGTGATTCAATACAGTGACAATATATAAGAATTATATTTGACCAAGTAAATTGATACCAGATTAAACTCTTTGCCTTATTAAGTTGAATTCTTGGTGGGGTGGGGAGGGGGAATATTAAATCATTGTTTTATTTTCTTTGACATGCTATCAGGTCCAATTGAAATTTGGAAACATGTGAAAATGATACAAATACTTGAAGAAAGTGATGTCATTACAGGGATACCGATATTTTATACCATACAAAGTATTAAATAAAATCACGTCATAGGCCGTTGTACATCTTCTGACCTTCTGACCGAGTCTTACTTAATCGGTATTTGCCGAGCCATTGACGATGCAAATACCGATTAACGGGACGAGGTTGATATTTCCCATATCAAAAAACACTCGTGATGAATTTTATTTATCATTTGCGCATTATTGTTTCCCTTTTAAGGAATAAATGCATTAACATTGACATCAGCAACTTGTCGAAATCTTACGTATAGATCGTGCCTAGTGATACATGTTTTTCATTGCCGTGTGAAGTTACTGTGAACCAAAATAAACAACCTCTTAACTCCTTCATGGCATATTCCTTCGCTGAGAAAAAAGGATTATTTTGAACAAAATTTTTGAACAGAGTTTTGCAGAATAATTGAAACTTTAATCACGCTAACAACAATTCTGTGTAATCTGATTATATCTCTGGTTAATTTCACTTATATATAGCTTTTGAATCAAACCGCTCTCTCACTTAAAGAATGTCTCTCGGAGGAGATGTCAGAGTATACTTCAGTCGGTGTCACTATCACCATCAATGACAATCCGGCGTCTTTTGACTGGAGCCGGGCTTGGAGGTTTAACGAGATTAATCGTTATGTTTCCACGAGTAATGTTGCCAGCAAACATAGTGTTGACACCACCAGAAACATTTGAAATTTGAGACCTACTTTGTGTTGTCTACTGGCGATTTGGACATGACGCGAGGGGCCGCCCTGTATGACGGGAGTTTCATCAACAAGCTGGGATGTCACAGTGTTGGATGGAGTGTTTCGCAAAATAATGTTGGATATTTGATTATGCTGGTCAGGATTAATATGGCAGGAATTGTTCACAGAATGGATGTTTTTGTGACCAGTTATCTGCATAAGTTGATTTGGCGGATTATTAGGCGACCCTTTTTTATTTCTTGGTTTACGGAGTTCAATCTCATTTCAAAAGTGAGGTAGGCCAATTAAAAACTAAAAAGTTAAAATTAAAAAGCCCTTAGAGATTGTTTTTACTCGAAGTTTGTCCTAAAAAGTTAGGTAGGTATAAAAAAAATTATTCTGGAGTAACAAAAGTAAAAGAACTCAATTTCTCAAGAACATTTTATCATATCCCTGACACTCAGCTTGTGCACAAATGGCAATATAACAATATCCATGTCATGGGTGGAAATGCATGAAAGACGCCGCTATATTGGCAGCATGGCGACGTTCAACACCCGCCAACCAGAAGATAACTGCTGTGACAAGTTCCCAGAGACTCTTGTGTGATAGATGAAGCCAACATTTATCTAGGAAATTATCTGCTTGTAAAACATCTTTGCTACTACATTTTTGGCTATACACTATTTGAAAGGTCTAGTTAATGCTATTGTTTTAAAATATGAAAATTATATGTATTACATTATTTAAATAATTCATTAACAACTAAATTAAGTTCGTTTTAAATTAAAATAATGTAAGCGAAAACATTCATAACGTCCAGATTAAGGACCAATGAAGCGAAACTTTCACGATTTTCGGCAAATATAAGATTTCATAAAATCCACTTACCCATTTCTTTTTTATTTTCATTTGTTTAAGTAGTTGGAACGTTATTTTCATGGATGTAAATGTATAGTGCTAGGTTACGAGCTATGACAAAGATTTCTTATGCATATATTTTGGCATTAAAGACATCGTGTTTGAGCCGAGAAATCGTGGCGACGAAAGCCGACTTGTCATTTGACTGACATTACACGCGATGGCACGAAAAGATGGAAATAATATCTTAGATGACAGTTTGGCATCTTTTAGATATATTTTTGTTGATTTTATTACTTTGTAAACTATATTGAAAGATTTGCTTGAAACGACTTTATTTTGCTGTTTGACATGTTCGATGAGGCCCCGTTGTGGAAGTGTCCGAGAATTTCATTTTCAATAACATTGCGGGAAATAGTGAATAATTTTTTAATCTATTGATACAAAATGATAAAATCAAATGGAATACGTATTTCAGACATTGTGAAATGTGAAAGATTTAATACATGAATGATATGACAAGTAGGTTTATAAAAAAATATAACCTATTTGACGTGACTTGGTCGGTCTAGATCTACCCTGCGGTGTCTGGCGTGTATGTATGTGTGTGTATGCGTTCGACTGAATGCATGTTTGTGCGAGAATCTATGTTGTTGATAGACCTGTATGATTGTTCTCATACAGGTTTTGGTATAATTCATGTTTTAATTATATATTGAATGTAGGGACTGTTTGTCATTTGTACTTTCTTAACTTAATTTTGTTCTGTGATATTTTGGATTATAGTGTCTCATAGGCCATATGGCCGGGTGCTTTTTATAATTCTATGAATGTACATTTTGTATTTTATCATATAATATGCACGTGACACTTAAATAAACATTTTCTCTCTCACTCTCTCTCTCTCTCTCTCTGTAACGGTCACCACTGCGCTTTGCGTTGACAAGCTTTGATGGTATTAGAGAAGGATCCCAGCGAGAAATATCAGAGTGACTTCCCTTTGCTTTACACTCGCGAAGCTAATTCTGCTACGTCACTAATGCTTCCGGTTCCCATGAGATTGCGCAGTGCGATCGAGGGGCAGTGCGCCATGTGCTTTGAGTGATGGTAGGACTGACGTGGTCGGTCACAGCACAAATTTGTGATTTTCGCTAAGTTTCGTAATTTATGACTATAGTTGCACTACGTGTTAGTGTGACGCCTTTTATTAACTTTTCACTATCGACGCTGTCGATTTTAGTGAGTGAAACGTACACGTGAGTGTACACCTGTTGAACACAGTAACCTGTATTCGAATCATGGCCTCTAACGCATCACAGCAAAAGAGACACTGCGAGGCTATACCTGGCGGTAAACATGCAGACAAAACTAAATCAGGGCCAAAATCACACCCCAAAGAGACACTGCGAGGCAGTGACTCGCTTGAAACCAGCTCTAAACATCTTTTTTCGGGCGAGGTGACTGCAGAACAACCACGAGGTGGCGCTGATACCAATATGGCAGCGCCTGATCAACAAAACTTGCGTAGCGAGGTTTTTTTTAGTTTGGTAAACTGATTGCTGATTCGATCTCAGACATTAAATCATCAATCACTGCAGGGTTTGACGAACTAAAGCAGTCAGTTACTGACAAGCCATACTATGAGTATGAAGATGGCACTGAGAGTGACGCCTCTTACATGCATTACGAAGATGAGTACGTCGATGGGGATGACGAACCCCTAAAGACGAATGCGTGTGAAAACAAGACTGACGACAAGATTGAGAGATTGTTAAATACCTGTGAAGTGGACCGTCAGAGTACACCCTCCACAAGTCATGGTGATAAATTTCTTATCACAATTCATGACCAGATCAAAACTAAAGAAAAAACTGGTGATAGAATTAATCAAGAACTGGCTGACATCATTAATGAACTTATGTTTAAATCAACAAGACCTGATGATAATGATGTTAAATCCAAACTGGACAGCATTGTAAGACCTGATAACTGTGCATCACTCGTTGCCACGCGAGTTGACGAGCTTATTTGGAGTCTAATGAGACCTAACTCACAGAGCATGGACAAAAAAATCCAAAAATGCCAGTTAATGATTGTCAAGACTGTGTCTTTATTGGCAGTTATCACTGACAAGATATACAACATGAAGAAAAATCTTGATAAGGGGTCTGGGCCCAACATTGTAAATGATTCTTTGGGAGAAGTGGTCAAGGATCTCATAGACACCATCCAGATGGCCAGTCTGGCGAACTTCGAGCTCAATATGAAACGGCGTGAACACATAAGGCCAGATGTGCATGCAAACTATATGCCCCTTTTTTCTGTTACTGTACCAGTCAACAGTTTCCTTTTTGGTGGTGAAGCCACAAACAAGTTGGAGGACATTGAAAAGTCTTGCAAAGCTGCTAACAAGGCTAGACCCAGGGACTACAACACATTCACAAGGGGTCCGAGTAGATTTCCATATAAAGGTCGCTATCCCGGACGAGCACGACACAGGCCATACAGGAGTGGACCATATCAGCCTTTTTTAGCCAAAAGAGGTGGATACGCAGCCTTCAGGGGCAACAAGAGACTGATGAAGCACGGCCAGAGCCAGTAGCACAGTCTAGTGAAACCCCGACAGCTGCAAACACCCAGGTAACCATGAGACATAATTCAGAAAATATTGATGTTGCACTTCTTCCTCACTCTGATTTCTACGCGGGTAGAATACAACACTCTATTCATAAATGGTCAGAAATTACATCAGACAGCGCTGTGTTAGATACAGTTACTGGTTGCCATATTGATTTTATCGATGACCAATGTACCCCAGAAATTCCTGATGCAAGGAAAACTAGATTATCTAGAGGTGAAGAAGTTCATGTTGACAAGGAAATTACAAAATTGATAGAAAGCGGAGTTTTCAGTGGAAACTGATCATTGTGAGGGGGAATGTGTTTCATCAATATTCACTAGAATTAAGAAAGATGGCACTTATAGGATGATTTTGAATTTAAAAGAATTCAACATAAACATCCCATATGAGCACTTCAAAATGGACACTTTAGGGTCTGCAGTCCGATTAATGACCCCAGGCTGTTACATGGCTAGTATTGACCTTAAAGACGCCTACTTTTCTGTGCCCATTGTCCAAAACACAGAAAATATCTTCGCTTTCAATGGAAACATAGACTGTATGAGTACACATGTTTACCAAATGGGCTTGCTTGTGCCCCTAAAAAGTTTACTAAATTACTCAAACCAGTCTTTGCTACTCTAAGACAATATGATTGTTTAGTTGTGCCATATCTTGATGACTGTTACCTCCAGGGTGACTCGCCTGTCGAATGTTCACAGAATGTAAAGAAAACTGCTCTCATGTTGCAAGATCTAGGCTTTATCATTCATGCCGATAAATCCCAATTTAGCCCCTCTCAAGAAATTGAATTCCTGGGATTCCTTCTAAATTCTGTTGACATGACAGTAACCTTACCAGCAGAAAAAGCAATTAAAGTTGCTAATGCATGTCAATCTTTATCATGCAAAACTAAAGAAACAATCCTTGAAGCGGCTCATGTTCTTTGACTGTTAGTGAGCAGTTTCCCTGGGGTACAATTTGGTCCGCTGCATTATCGGAACTTAGAAAATGCAAAGATAGATGCACTGAGAAAGTCAAAAGGGAATTATTCCGACATTATGCTCATTACCACAATGATGATATCGGATTTGGAATGGTGGGTACATAATGTCAAAACAGCAAACAAACCAATCATCATACCTGACCCAGTTTGTGATTTGTACTCGGATGCATCAATGGAAGGATGGGGTAGTCACATTGGTTGTAAGAGAGCTAACGGTAGATGGTCTGTGGATGAACAGAGGTGTCATATAAATGAATTGGAAATTTTGGCCTCTTTCTATGCTTTGCAGGCCCTATGTAGTGACAAACTCAATTGTCACATCCACCTCTTTATAGACAATTCTACGGCAATCGCCTACATCAATGCAATGGGCGGAAGTAAATCTAGATCATGTGACAGGACTGTCAGAAAACTTTGGCAATGGTGTGTTGATAGGCACATATGGGTCACTGCAAGCCATATACCTGGGTCAAAAAACATCATAGCAGATTCAGAATCGAGGATTTTCGATGACAAAACGGAATGGATGCTCAACAAACAGGTCTTTGAAACGTTAACTCACGAATAAACCTGAAATAGACTTGTTTGTGTCAAGGCTGAATAAACAGTTAGATGTATATGCATCTTGGAAGCCTGATCCATCAGCTAGGTATGTCGATGCTTTCAGTGTTTCATGGCATAACTTATACGCATACATTTTTCCACCTTTCAGTGTGATCAGCCAGTGTTTACAGAAACTTCAGAAGGAGGGGGGAGGAGGCGATAATGGTACTCCCGAACTGGCCCACTCAGACATGGTACAGCGTAGCGATGAGCATGGTTGTGGATTATCCCCAAGTGCTACCATGGCTGATGGATCTCCTCAGCCTTCCTCACAATGGAGCTCTACATCCACTGAGGAAAAAGCTCCAACTTCTAGCCTGTCGCTTGTCAGGAAAGCGCTGGAGAAGCGTGGCGTTCCGAGAGAGATTGGCGACGTCATCCTCAAATCATGGAGGAAATCTACACAAAGACAGTACACAGTCCATGTGCACAGATGGGAAATTTTCTGTAATAAAAGGGGTGCTGATCCCCTTCAGGTGTCTGTAGAGAGACTGTTAGGTTTTCTTAGCGAGCTGTATAAACAAGGACTAAGCTATAGCTCATTGAATACAGCGAGATCGGCTGTGTCAGCTTTGATTTCTATTAGTTGTGATGTTAATGTTGGTTCTGATGCTTTGATCTGCAGATTTTTGCGCGGAGTTTTTAATGAGAGACCAACTAGGTCTAGATACAGCTCAGTTTGGGATGTGTCTCTTGTTTTTAAGTATTTACAGTCCAGGGCCGGGGAGACAACTCAACTCTAACATTGAAAGAACTTACTCTAAAACTTACTGCACTGTTGGCTCTGGCTACAGCCAACCGACTCCAGTCACTTCAGACATTACAGATTAGCAATATGAAAGTTTCAGATTCCAAGATTGTTTTTGTGCTTGATCTGCTTAAACAGAGAAATCCATTACGAAAATCTCACTTTGTTGAGCTAGAAAAATTTGAAACTGATCATGTGTTATGTGTTTATCAAGCTCTGTCCTTGTACTTGGACAAGACTGCAGAGTTTAGAGGAAGTGAAACCCAGCTGCTCATTAGTTTCCAGAGACCCCATAAGAAAGTAACAAGATCCACAATAGCAAGATGGATTAGGACTGTTCTTGAAGAAGCGGGTATTGACATTTCTGTGTTTGCAGCTCATAGTACGAGAGCTGCAGCCACATCGGCAGCTAAGAAAGCAAATGTGCCAATGAATGACATTTTAAAAACTGCAGGCTGGGCTTCAGCTGCAACTTTTGTTAGACACTACAATGTACCAATAGAAACACTGCCGAACGACACAAGTAGTATGTACAAGACAATTGTGTCAACATCGGCGGGTGAATAGAATTACTACTGTTGGGAGTTTTGTGCAAACAACCTGCTGGTTGTGATTAGCAGTTTTTAGTTTGTGCCATGTTGGCTTGAATACCAGTTTCAACTTTCGTTGGGTTGTCATGCTTATGCATACATGTTTCCCAATTTTGTGCAAATCTTGTTGAATTTGCTGAAACTCAAAAAATAAATATACTGAACTTTGACCTTGTATTTTATTTCTTGAGATAGGACTTGTGCCACCAAGTGGCTTTAAAATCTCATTGGAGCCGGAAGCATTAGTGACGTAGCAGAATTAAACAATTAAACGAGACTTACCTGTGTGTTGAAGTTTGATTTGGGTTCTGCTACGTCACTGGAATGCTGGAGGTTTACATGCCCTCCGCATCCCTCCCTCGTACTTGTAGTGGCACTTGGTGTCACAAGCATACTTTGAATCCTGCCGCTCGATCGCACTGCGCAATCTCATGTAAACCTCCAGCATTCCAGTGACGTAGCAGAACCCCAATCAAACTTCAACTTACAGGTAAGTCTCGTTTAATTGTTTAATTAAATTATATTTTTTGTTTGAACTTTTTAAGCATTTTTTAAAGTGAAGATCGGCGGTAATAAAAAAGGAGTACTTTGTTTTTGTTTTCCTCATTTGGACTCTGAAAGAACGGCGCATCCGTAAACCAAGTAATAAAAAATGTCGCCTTATTGTCATTCAACTTTTTCACAAGGTGCTTACGCGCAGAGTGATAAGTGAGTCGTTTCGATGTTTGGAGACTGGCGGCATGCACATATTTTTCATGAGAGATGAAAGTTTGTTTTTCCCAATATGATAGCGAATAAACCACTGATCGCCATGTTTAGGCATGCCTTAAGTGTGTGTGCCGATGTAAAAGGAAATCGTCATCTCGACATAACTCGAGGGGGACGCGTGGAGGCATACAACTTATATACCTGCACAGGGCCCTGAGAGGGATCAGCAACATTAGACCACAGTTTGGGCCTGACGTCGCGACAATCACGAGGATTCTCACCAGATTCTCATTGGGGTATGACATACCTGTTTTTATGTCATTAGCTTATGTCATGGATAAATGCTTCAGTTAAATGTTAAAATAAATTTAGACATCGATAACATGACTAATGAAAAACAGTTATATGTATCAATGTAGACAGAATGACAAGATTGACAAACTTTCCAGGCGAAGGAATACAAACTGTGGCGTGACATGAATCAGGTGACTAACTTATGCACATAACCTGACACGCCCACAAACTCATCAGTCAATCAACACAGTAGAATCAAACAAGGTTCATAGGATCTTTCACTCAAGGCAAGAGGCGGGTAGAACTGCATTTGTCAGACTGTAACGACCCGGAACAAATGTCAGGGTGAAGGCGGCTGTTTCAATGACTTGGTCTGTAACCGCCAGATTCAAACATTAGTTCCCTGAGAACGGGAAGACAGTTGGGAAAATATGAGTTAGAAATGCAATTTTTGAAATACAGGCAAGCGAAAAAGAAACAACAGGCGATGGAGCCTGTACGTTTGCTGTTTCTTCCCTTCTCAGCCTTCGGTCTCGAAGGGTGGTTAGGACAATGAATATGCATGAACTTCGCTAAAGGGTCCTGTGCATGATGATACAGATGAACAGAACGGGAATTCCCTCGACTGTAATTGGGATTCTCGGAAGTGGTGAAAGTAGTCTGCTTCCGTGGGCGTGGCTTAATTTAATACATTCATTGGAAAAGGAATTCAATAACACGTGACCAATACAGCTATTCAGAATGCAGGAATAACAATGAACACAACGAAACTATATGTATGTATGTATGTATGTATGTATATATGTATGTATGTATGTATGTATGTATCTGAGGCACAGCATCGCCTACATCTACATCATGACACACTAAATCTGTATGGCCAAGTACATCCATGAACAAGTGAGCAAGCTCTTGAATTAGTTCAGACACGTGAGCCTTTTGTTCAGTCGACAAATGAACTTACTTAGCATCCAGGCTAGCTACAACTTCAGAGTTGTTTAGCTTAGAGCTAGCATTGTCTGTAGCATTGTCAAGGCTACCCGCTATATGTTCACTCTACCAACCAATCACACGAACCCTTGAAAACCTTGTGAAAAGAAAGTTGGTTGTGTTCATGAGATAAATTTCACTGCCTGAAAACACTGTCAAAGTTGCGAGATCTGTTCAAACATTCAGCATTAAGAAACCTGAACTACATATGGTTGACTGTACAATAAAATAAATCAAACAACAAAACAATTGGCTGCTTGTTTGACTCTACAAAAGGAGTGTGAGATATCTACCCTGAATTCCATATTTTTGTAATTTAAACCCGAGTCCAACACACCTAAGGCTTTCGAAAGCTTTTGAGTAATCAATAAAGAGAGGCACAGAACATTCTTTCAAAGGATTTCAAAATGTGTATTAACATTATTATAACAAATAGGTTGTCAACAGTGGAGTATCTGACATTATTTGGTTTACTTTTACAAAATGTGAGCCTTATGTTTAAACACTGATAAATAGTTTTCCGAAACAGCTCAATATCGTTATAGGTCTATAATTGTTTGGATCCAGAGTATCACCTGTATTTCTATATATTGGTTTTATTATTCCTGTGACCCAAGACGATCGTTTGCATACAATATCCTTTACAAGACTGAATAAGTTTGTGTATATTGGCCCGAGAATTTCAATGGAGCCAACGAGATATTCGTTGAGAACGAGTTCTATTCCGGCGCATTTATTATTCAAATCTTCAAACGTTTTATTGCTACGCCTATTTTTCCTAAAGAGGTATCTTTATTCGACATAGAATCGTTATAGGCAGGGTATTCAGGCAAAAATCCAGGCATGGGATGACTGATCACAGGAACTGGGGGATACCAATGTCATCGGATAGAACAAACATTTGACAACACATGAAGAAGATATTGGTGAGTTGTGATTGAAATTTACCGACAATAACATCATGGTAACACAGATACTGTTTTTGACCTTAGACCTAAAAAAAAGTAAGGAGCTGCAGGATTAAGTAAACGAGTTATGTTTGATGTTTCGTGTGAAAATGTTCCTTCAAGTCTCCCTTTGACACGACACGTGAAACAGATCAGTAGCGGGTATAACAGCCACATGCCCAGATAACGCATTCCACCCTACGTCTCATGCCTCCAGTCAGATGTTGGATCTGTTGACTCCTGATGCAATGCTGCTTCCAAATGGTATAAATCTTGTACAGGAGGACCTCGTGCCTGTATGCGCCGCCCTATAATATCCCAAACATGTTCAAGGGGGTTCAAATCTGGGCTCATGCTGGCCATGGAAGAGTCGTTATTGCATTGGCCCTCATGTAATCCATGACTGCTTGCGAACGATAAGGCCTGGTATTGTCAACCATGTACTGAGGTCGAGTAGCAAGAGGGTGGTTGTCAAAATGAGGAACGACGACCGGCCTCCAAACGTCCCGGATGTACTGAGTCCCTGTTAAATTGCCCCTTATGGTGACCAAATCCAACCTGCAATCATGAAAGACACACACCCAAACCATCACCGAGCCCCCGCCGTATGCAACAGTCGGTTTAATGTTCCTGGGGGTGTAGGTCGTGTTCCGGTGCCTCCAAACTCTCATTCTTCCATTAGTGACGTGGAGCAGAAAGCGACTTTCGTCTGACCAATGGATCCGTCTCCAAGTTCTCAGATTCCAGTTCTGTTGCGCAATACACCATGCTAAACGAGCAGCTTTGTGGTGATCTCTCAACATGGGACACTTTTTGACTCGTCAGCCGGTTTCTGGCGGTTCTGGTACTGAAACGACAATTGGGCAACAACAGCTGTTTCAAACGAGTACTTGTTAAAAAGGGTTCTCGACGTATGAGACGAAGAAGGACCCTGTCTTCGCGATGTGTCGTCCTAGGAGGTCTTCCGGATCTGGGACTGTCCTGTACATCACTTTTCTGAGCATGTTTCTCGACTAAACGGCTTAAGACAGTGTGATGATAGCCCAAATTCTTACCAATAGCATTACAAGACATTCCTGGGTTAAGCATGCCGAGTATTATCTCGTGACGTTTGATAATCGCCTTCGTGCTATGGTCACACAATGTCATAGAATATCTTTTTAAAACCGAGCTTAAGAAAGCAATTTTAACGTTTGGATATACTGCTTTTAGAGATACTCGAGGGTAGCATGCTGCACGGACATACCATGCATGGCACGTGAGCTTTCGTCACGCATGACTGATTACATCATCTCGAGAAAACATAATTCTTCCCGTAATTATATCTTTCATGACTGTTTCAAATATTGGGACCAATCAATCATGAAATATATTTGGGTGTGCTTAACCCTTTTCTTTGTGTATACATCATTTATAGGCTTTAGCCTGTTGAGATACTATAGCTTGCTGGAAATATTTTTGTTCTTCTGAAACCGATTTTTAGCCTTTTTGTAATGTTTCCGCACAACTTTTTTCCGAACCAGGGTTTGTTGCACGGTACGTCCACTTTGCTAGATCTCACGGACGCTGGTCACGTGAATAGTGATGTTTCCTACGACACCAGTGACCTACATTTACCGGTTACGTTAACAGAAATATAGTGTGCCAATGCACGTGCAAAACGAGGAAAGGCCGCCGGGCTTGATTTACTTCCTGCTGAGTATCTTCAGAACCCAATATGTATACAGATTCTGTTTAAGATGAGTGAGTGAGTGAGTGAGTGAGTATGGCTTTACGCCGCTTTTAGCAATATTCCAGCAATATCACGGCGGGGGTCACCAGAAATGGGCTTCACACATTGTACCCATGTCGGGAATCGAGCCCGGGTCTTCGGCGTGACGATCGAACGCTTTAACCACTAGGCTGCCCGACCGCCCCTGTTTAAGATGACTATGATGATTGTTTTGGAATAGAATTGTACAGATTCATGGCAGTGTAGTGTTATTAATTCCATTATCCACGTGACCCGTTGGGGTACAGGTGTATCTCTTTATTATCTGTTCCATGCAAAAGCTATTAAAATATTTGAAATGCACGGCTCAGTAAATGGCTAGAACTATTTTAGAAGAAGTTCAGAATGGTTTTCGTTCAAACCGAAGTACACATGAACATATCTACAGTTTGTTTTCGGTAATTAATAACAGAATATCATCAAGACAATCTATTTATGTTTGTTTTATGGATGCTTTGAAAGCTTTCGACAAAGTCAATAGCCTATCTACGGTATTATTTGATACAAATTGGTATTGGCGGTATATTTCTTTATGTAGTGCAGTCTGTGTGTGAAAACGCATGGTCTCGTGTACATATTAATGACAGCTATGCTGATGTATTTGGCGTCAACTCTGGTGTGTTTTGTCACCCCTTTTTCAATATATATCAATGACTTGGCGAAAGCAATAGACAACTAACAATGTGGTATTGACATAAGTGGAGACATATTAAGTGCACTGGTTAATGCAGC